GATACATAATTAATAAAGAGATTGTAAAGAAAGAAATTATTAATACAAATTAAGTGTGTAAGATCCGATTTAAAAATTCTTATCTTTATCGTGATTAAAAACCGGTAATATAAGAATATTCTAATTATATATGAAGATAGGGGAAAAAATAAAAATAAAAAACCCGTGAACTTTGTATTTTTTGCCGACCAATTTGACACAATAAAATTACAAACTACCCCATTCCTAAATTAAAAGAAAAACAAGATTTTGAGAAAATCATTTAATCATCCTCTCTCCTTGCACATTTGTTTCCTTTCTCTCTTTAAGTTTCTTCTTCCTCGCACTCGATGCTAGCCACGCTATTGAACCCATATCGTCAATCTCCTTCTCCCATAACTCTACACATAGCCATCTCCTCGTCAATCCCACTAGTTTCAAACCTCCTCACGACTCATCGCACCTCCTCGATCCAAAAAACCACTAGTCCCGTAGGTCGTTGTTTAGTCAAAATGCCTAAAATCAATCAAGCCCCGCACACGTAATAGCATTGGACACGTAAATGATTTTTGAAATCTTGATTGAAATTTTGTTTGGTGTGTCTAAGCATGGCTGGAATTTTGGAGAGTTTAGAAAGGAAAAAAATAAAGGATGAAAGAGAGGAAATGAAGGTAAAAAAAAAAAAAAAAAACAAAAGAGAGAAAAATGAAAAAGAGTTGTTCGAACATTTCACCATCACGCGTTTATCATGTGTGCTCGAGATTTGATCAATGGATTCGGTGGACTTGATTACAAACTAAAAAATAGTTATGGTACTCGAATTGAAAATTTTTTAATTTGGGTTACTAGTTTATGGTCAATGCATAGTACGAGCACTATCAAACCAATTTGCCTTACATTGAATATTATGTAATATTGCTAGAATGTGGGAATCTATATGCTACCGCCTATTGTCAATTAAGGACCATATTTGGATGTTAATCCTATTAATTAACGTCATAGTTTTGAGGTCAATTAAGGTGGCAAAGTTGGTACACCAACCTTCCATAGACATAGTGATGGGTATTTGAGTTTGCTACAAGCTGTATCAAATTTTCTTTAATATTAATGGTGTCAATTTTTATTACCTAAAGATATTAACATATTTATGCTTAAAAATAATTTTTTTAAATTTAAGTTAATTGATCCATCTAATTTTGTTTATTACAAGTATTTTCTTATGTGTTCTTTCCAAGACTTTTTATTTTTCTTTTTATGATTATTTCTATATTTATACTCGTTTTCCATATACCTTTTTATTATTGCTTTTAGACAACCATCAAAAGAAGACTAAAAAATTTAAAACAGGAAAGAATGGATTTTTTATTTTAATAAATTTTTTTTCCATTTTAAATAGAAAAGCAATTGGATTTTAATAAAATAAAAGGCAAATAACTTTCTTTTTTTTTTTTTTCTATTACAAAACATGTACATACTTTGCTATTGATATGTCAATAACAAAATTAGACCATGGAACTTTATTTTTTATATTTATTATAAAGTATAGGAAGAAGGAATTTATTTGTTTTTAATTTAATAATTTTAGATTTTTAGTATTATTTATAAAGTTTGATTAGGATATTGCATTATTAGAGATTAAATTTACTAGGATACTAATTTCATAGTGTATGACTAGTTAAGGGGAGAAAAACTTCAATCCCATCCAGATTAACTTTAATATGATCCTAAAAGCAAAGCATTTTAACACCCCATTCTTTGAAGCACCAAATCAAAATCAAACTAGAGGCGGTGGTCTCCTTTTAAGATTAGCCGCTCGCAACCCAGACTTCTTGAGACTTGTATCCAGATCCGCTAAACTTTCTAACAAGAATCCAATCTAGTTTAGACCTATAATTGTCCTATTGAAATTGGAGCGATGAAGTTGGATTTGTGTTTTCTTGTTGAGTATGTAAGGACTCTAAAGTTATTTTTTTTAAACCACTTTAGTATTTTTTATTGGTCTTGACCAGATGGAGTTTTCTTCAATCTTATATAGCCATAAATTTCTACTAATTTATATGTTTATGATGCATGCTTTGACGTTTTGAATCTCCCATATAAGAGGTCCAATTCGTGGGAACTTGATCATGTTGAAAAGCTTTTGTTTCATACTCTTTGTACCAATAAATATTGGATAGTAATAAACATTAATATTGTTGTTGCTCATCGAATTTGGTCTTAAATGTGGAGTAAAGCGACACTTTAATTTGTAACCAAGTACTTCACAAGGAAATAATAAAGGGTTCAATGCTCGCCTAGTAAACCACTAGGACTTTTACGTGGTATTTCAATTTGAGTGATAAAATTTAAAATAAAAAGAGAATATTGTGATAAACTAAGATATAAATATTATAAATTGGAAGATACAAGCACTTACATCAATAGTTTTGGATGATGCCATTTGACAATACTTGAAGTAAAAAATCCTAAGTTACCGAAAAACAAAATAAACGCTATCGATCTACTTTACGGGAATGTAAGGTTATTCTAAAGGATAAAAGTAAATTGTAGAGCGAGTCTTGTTGTTCGCCTTCTTTTTGTCTTCTTTCCTTTCTTTTAAACTATGGTCAATGGTTATCGGGTTTTATCTTCTTTTCTATTTGTTGACATCGATTTGTTTGTGTAACCAAACGGACCAAACAAAATCTTTATTTCATCGATATCGATTGGCTTGTAAAACCAAACGCATCGCTTTATTTCATACTTATGTTTTATCAATATTGGTTGGTTTGTAAGTCCAAACGCACCATTTCATTTAACATTTTCAAATCTATGTCCGTCGATATTGGTTCGTTTATGAAACCAAATACATCATTTCATTAAGATTCTAAGAATGCATCGTTCGGTTAAGGTGCAACATTTTAATATGTAATGTCGATTCCAATCGACATGTGGCTTAAATTTTTATATGCCAACACATGCCCCCCTTTAAAGATTGAACGAAGAGTTTTTTCTCCGATGGACGGATCTTTAAATGCCTATTAGACATAATGACACTATGTGACTCCCCATCTTTCTAAAGGCGATTACTTTATGTAGCAATTTGACGTTTCATTTTGCCAAATCTAAACCATCGAGTTTCAAAGGTGAAATCATTACGACCTTTGAATGTATGTGATATACCTTATAATTTTACACTCTTTATGATTCTCCTTACTTTCTACAAAAACTTTTTTCAAAAGCCCTTCCTACCTTTTGTCAAATACTTTTTTCGCTTTGGGATTCTTTCTATTCCATTAGAATGGCTCTTAAAAGAAACCTAAAACCTTCCAAAAAGTTTATGCGGACCAAATTATCTCTATTAACCGACTATCATAGATTTATAAGAGCTCTTTGTTCGACCCAATGGGATCGATACTCACCTCATTCGGACTATTACAAACAACCAAGTTGTCGATGTCCCAGTAGGGTTTAAGAAAAACCCCGAGAGGAGTCCTTATCTAACTCTAAGACCTATAGTCAATGTTGATGTAGTGCTTTTATTGGCGATGATTGATTCGGCTTACCCAAGAACTACTAATGCTGGTATCATTTTTGATCCCGTATTTTATTCCACCCTCTAAAATTAGATTCGAGTGCTAAAGCATTTCTAGCGATTTGGCCAAGATCGGATGCTAAGTATGAGGCTTCTTCCTCGATTGGGCAAAAAATAGGAAATAATAGGGATTCGTGAGGCCATTATATTGTCGACTCAATCATATTTTCCTAATCCTAGTCCGGTCACGACTTTGGTCTCTTTCTAGAACTTTTACATCAACTAATTCAAATTCTCGAAAGGCCATATGTTAATGACCCTATTAGATGTCATGGCTATTACTTATTTACACCCTTCTAGCCAAACTTTGGCCTTTAAAGCAAATGATGCGGGCCTTAAGGTCTAAGAAAACGAGCTCCCAACAACGCATGATTAGCTGGTGGATCGATATGGAGGTGGGCCAACGATATCCCAACACGAGGAGATTAATTTCTACTTGCTATGGATTTGCAAGTACATCATGGGTTCCAAGTTGAAAAAACCAATCAAGGCATTTTTACCCTAGGCCATCAACTCGGCTACATTCGATGGAATCGAACCGGTTGTTATGGGTTTGATTCTCCTTGTATATGCATATGCGGACCTTCATGATGCATCGACCAAAAGGTTCAAAAACTTATCCCGTCCTCTTTGGTTTATCTAGATGTGGGGTGAATTCTATTTCCTTGCCTTGTACAAACCTCATCCGATCCGGGACGATTTAGAGAGTTATGGCCATTTATTGCTTCATAACACACAACTAACTTATTACTCTCCTCGAAACTATGAATCACATTCTTGATCTAGACAACCATTGAGCAACCTTAAATGACTGGATGCCATTCCATACTCACGACTATGGATCGTTGTTGTTTCGTTTGAACAAATTACATTGTAAGGTATAATTCTGTGCTAGTGAGCACTCTATCCGGAGTTCAATATCGGTAAGTCAAGAATTGACTTACTCTTTGGGAGCAAGGAGATTCAATCCTTGCTAAAGCCTATTCTCCAAACCTTTATGCTTGACAATTTAGGTTGTTTCAAATAGTGGCAATGCCATTGTATACAATCATAAACCAACCACGGCAAACGAGGAATGACATCAAGAATTTTCTAAAGGAAATTGATGAGAATGAATCCTAAGTCTTTGCCAATACTCAAGACCTTCGTGGTTATCGCCTTAATATTGGAGTGAATTCAACATTCATCTGCAATGTGATCGGTGTTTTGGAGCAACAATTTCCCTCATTTATGCTAAGAGGATTTGCTCTAGGTAATTACCGGTGTATCGATGCAAATGGAATTGACACCAACCGAGGGTGGATTGCTCGTAAAAGCTGGTGGGCTTTCTATTCTTTCGTCATTCTTAAGTTTAAAAGGAAATGAGATAAAATTCATTTTTCTTGGTTTTACTCGTTGATAATTTTACCAAAGAAGCCAAATCGGAGAAAGAGAAAACTTATTTTACCCGATCCATCTTCGGAGAATTCATCTTTAGAGGGACAAATTGAGCCATTGCATAGACCTGCGAAAAGACTATTATTGATTCCTCTAGACGCCACGGTTCGATAGGCCCTACCATTAGAGGTACTTTTTCTAGGCCGGAGCTCCTACCTTCTTCTTCCTCTTCTTCGAAGTGGAAAGAGTCCAAGCCGAGCCAGTGCTCAACCTTTACGAGCAACCATTCCGGACTTTGAAGGCTTCTCACTGGAGGAATAAGAAAAGGTAGCTATGCAAGAAGTAATAAGATTCTTTATCTTTCAATCTGCCATTATTGTCTTATCTTTGATATTGATTTTCTTATGAGTCCTTAGCTCTTTAGTGCGATTGAGAAGATCTAAAAGGGATTTCGACGACCTCTTTCTCTTGTAGAGATTATTGGTCAAACTTTAGAATCTATGTATAAGATTTCTAAGTTTGAACTATTCCTTTGATCGCGAGGTCCATCTAGGCCTAAAGTGGACCAAGTAGGTTTCTTTCAACATCCTTCTTGTTTTGTAACAAAATTTGTTTTTTTACATTATTTGATCATTCTCGTTAGGTAGTTGATCCCGAATCAACTTCTCTTTTTGATAAGAATCTTGACATCCGGATCCATCCGAGTACGAGTAATGACCTTCTCACTATCAAATTAATCGTTCATTTTCTTTGATTTTTGTATACTAATTGGAGTGTTTCAACTTTTACCTCTTGGGCCGGAGATGTCATTTAAAGAACCATTACAACCCTTTGAAGAATTGTTTTTGGGTCTTCGGGATGAAGTAGGCATAGGAGATCCTATCAATGAAACACCTAGGGGATTTGCAATGAATCGAGCAATATAGTAACATATAGAAAAGCCTATTTTAGCAAAGAGACACATAAAAAGGCCCAAGACTTTCATCATTGAACTCCTTATTAGGATGGAGATAGAGGGTTTAGAAGAGACGCCTTCTTTCGATGCTCATGATATCTCGACCGGAGGCCTTTTGAAGTGTTGAACCCTCTTGTTAATGTTTCGATGTTCCTCTTTCATAGGATCCACCTACATCTTTGGCAGTCATGTAACCAATGCTTATGGTGGTTACGAGCATCCTAAAGCGATCGATATTCAAACTGTAGGTCCTCACCATGGTCCCGATGAAAGGGTTAATGAAGATGGGGTGGTTTCAACTCATATTACCGAGGTCGAACCCGATCAATTTAGGAAAGCTTCCACTCAATTGAACATTGCTTTAAATCAATAAATACAAGTAATGTCTTCTTTGGTTGTAGCAGGGCCCCTTAAGGTCTTAGAAACTCGGTTTTTTTCCTTCCACCAGGTTCTCGGATCTTCTTGATTTCCTCAATTCTCTTCCCCTAGACATCTATGATTGAGAGTCTCTTGATGTATTGAGAGATATGATTGCAGCAGATTTAAAGAAATAACAAACCATATAGGGCTCTTTGGAAGAAAACATTCAAGTTTTTTATGAAAGGAACCCCTACTAAAGCTGCCATAGTGTTGAGGGAGGAACAAGCTGAATTAGATCAAACCGGGGCTTGTTTAGATAAGGAGTTGCAAAAATGAGGTAAAAGTTAGTTGAACTGGAATCGCTCGATCTACCCTAGAACCCCAAATTGCTAATTTCAATGAGGATTTGCATAGGCATGACTTTATACGTAGGCAAAGGCTTAGCGAGGTCGAGCCTTATTGGGGCTTTATATATTATTTTAGATATTCTCGGGAATAAAGCTCGAAATAAATAGTTTTTGTAACAATTGCTAACAATTGCCAATTTTAATTCCAAAGAGATGTCTTTTGAATTAACTGGTTGTTCCGCATTGTTCCGTGTTATCCTTGAGTTTCACTATACATTTGCCGAATTCTAGAAATCAAAATTCCAAAGTTTCTTTATTCGCTCCCCAAATAGAAGGAACATAAGGCTTTAAGTATTTACCATTAATGCCCCTAACGTGTTCCACCTTGGACGCTTTCTAATTTATAAGTGTTCTTAGAGTATGTCTCCTTAATTTGAAAAGGAGCTTCCCAATTAGGGGACCATTTACCAAATAAATAGTCTTTTATTTCCAATTGGTAATATGACTTTCCAAACTAAGTCCCCGATCAAGAAGTTTTTACTCTTAACTCTTCAATTGTAAGTTCATGCCATTCTTTGTTTTTGCATGTGAATTCTGTTTAGCCCTTCGATTCACTCGTAAATTTAATGATTCTGTTTCAACAAACATAGTGTCCGTATAGTCAATTCTAGACATTTCATTTTGTCTCACCACTCTTAGTGATTAAGCCATAATCTCAAATGGTAGCACAACATCATGCCCATAAGTTAAACAATATGGACTTATGCCAATACTCTATTTAAAACCAACTTGATGGGCCTATAAGGTGTTTTGTAACAAGTCATGCCATTTTGAGGATTATTGCCAATCATTTTTTGGATGTTTCCTTTAATGATTTTATTTGATGTCTCTGTTTGTCCATTGGCTTGAGCATAGTATGGTGTCGAATTGATTATATTGAAGCTAAATTCTCTTGCAAACCCCTACATTTCGCCTTATTAAAAACGGGAGCTTGATCAATAGTAATAGTTTATGGTAAACCAAATATATATATGATGTTTTCTTCAATGAAAAGAATAACCTCTTTTTGGTTTATCGACTTCATGGGCTTCGCTTGTACCCATTTGGTGAAGTAGTCGGTGGCTACTCTTATATATGAATGGGATGCTCTCGAAGCTAGGTTAATTTTCCTAATTAAATCCATTGCTCATCCTCTAAACAACCAAGGTTTGATTACCGAATGTAAATCGGATGCGGGAACCCTAGGTATGTTACGATGTTTTTGGTCTATATCATATCCTTTTGTGATTTCGATATAATTTTTTTTCATTGATGGCCAAAAGAAACCATGTTGTTAAATCATCCACCTCATTTTGTCCCATGCTTGGTGTAATCCATAGAGACCGAAATGGGATTACGCCATCATTCTTAAGGCTTTATCCGTATTAACACTTCGAAGCAGTATTCCATCAACACCCTTCTTGTATAGCTCATCTTCTTAAAGGACATAGTTTCTCATTAGATGCTTCATATGAGAATTTTGTCTTACTAGTTCGGGATTTGTTAAAGTTGAAATGATTTCGTCTCTCCAATCGAAATGGATCGAAGGATTGAAATCATGTTGATTTTAACCAATTCTTTCTTTGATCAAAATTTAAGAGTACTTTGTCTTCAAGAGTGATTAATTCCTTAAATTTGGTTAAAGGGATTTGATAACCGAGTGGCCATTTATATCAAATCGTTAGCCAACTAATTTTTTTCCCTAGGGATATGTTCAATTTTGGTTACATCAATTTGGCTTAACAAATCTTTCACCTTTTTCGAGCAATGTTCCAAAATGCCATTAATGCACTTGGCATGACCTAGTATCCGATTGATTATCAATTGTGAGTCTCCGTATATTTTGATGGTGCTCACTCTTGCTAAGAGGCACTTGAGGATGATAGCCATTAGCTTGGCTAATAGGTGGGTGAGGCGAGATAGCCATTAGTTTGGCTAGCAGGATTGCCAAGAGATATTTGAGGATGATAGCCATTAGCTTAGCTAACGGGTAGCGCATGAGGCGGATAGCCATTAGTTTGGCAAATAGGATTACCGGGAGGTACTTGAGGATGATATATAGGTAGTTGGGTAGGTGGTTGAGTAGGATAGCCATAGGTTTAGCCATGATGGGTATGTGTGTACGGACTCGCGGTGGGTCTTGATAACTCCTATTGAATGCTCCGTTGGAGATAGTAGGCGGATACCCAAGAGGAATGTACTGTTACTCTAGTTGGACATGCTCCATGTCCATCTTTGACTACCTCTTTCCCTTTTTCTTCGTCGAACTACAAGGCGCCTAACATTTTCTCTCATTGATTAGGTGGCATTTGTAGCGACGTCGAACCTTGGTTCGATGGTAATTTCAACTTCTTTGGCTACCTATTTAGCCAATGGTTAAATAGTCTCACCGAACAAGTGATTCACATTTGCAATCACTCTGTTGCTATTGTAACGCATAGATTTCGTCATTTCGACAGTATGGTGATTGGCCATCTCCATGTTTTTTTGCAATGATTCGACTATGAAAGCTCTCATCCTGCTGATGTCTTCTTCAGGCTGATTTGACACTAGCTACAAGTGTTAATTTTTTTAAGTACCTACATCCACTCGTTGGATTATAGATCTTGTTAAGTAGTTCTTCCGTTCATTTCGACAACATCTATCGAACGTCAAAATTTGGTTCGTTCGCCGCTATGTCTTGTCCCCTATCGGTAGAGGCATCGCTCTTTTCCGGATTCATAGGCTCTTAACTTTCGATACCAAATTTATTTCGACCGTCGTTATGGCTTTTGTTTGCCATATTTTCGGATAATCTCTTTTGATCACCCATAGTCCGTCCACCAATGTGGTTTCCTATGTTTCCTTTTTCTTTCGTAGGCATATTTTCAAAAACTTGGATCATTCCTTCGACGAAACCAATTGTGTTTCGTCGAGTTGGTCTTCTCTAGTGGTTGAACGTTTCGTCATGCTTCTTGTAATACATAAATAAATTAATGTTACACTTTAACATAAAATTTTATCTTCTTTCAACATTAATTCAGCCTTTCGCCGACCATAACTTTACTTAACAATCAAATAAACCATTAAAAATCACACTTCATTTACTACATACAAAACCAAACAAAAATTATGTCCATCTACCACAATTTTCAAACCAATACACCTACTTAGTTAATTTAAAGCACACAAAAAAACTCTTCCTCTCCACTCAACCTTATGCAAATTGACCATACAACACTAACACAATATTTTTTTTTTCAAAGAAAAACTAGTTTCTCTCTTAACTTCGTTTGGCCAAAAAAAAAAAAAAAAAAAAAAAAAAAAAAAAAAAAAGAAGAAATCCAACAAACAATTGTTCCCTTTGAGAATACCTAGCCAATAGCTCTTCAACTCAACAATGCTTCATTATGTTTCTCACCATTTCACCTTCAATAGAAAATACTTGTCGCACTAAGAATAGAGAAGAATTGTACTTGAGGATTCAAAACGGAACAATTGTGGCATAGTTGCTCTAGCGTACTCTCGACCCATATGTTTTTCCTTTCTACTAAATGCACAATTTGTTGTTTCTACATTTCTTAAACAATTAATCTATAATTTTCTTATATAATCAACACTACGGTGTCACAACTACTCGGATAAAACAATTTCTATATAATTAGCATATTTATAACAAATGTTTGCTCAACTATTTTTTGTTTATTTTCTAATAACATGATTTTCACAAACACCTTGCTATTTGTTTTCATAAAACAATGATTTCATACTCTTCCATTTCTTCTCATTTTTTTTAAAACCCTAATAAATCAACCTATAAATTGCAAGCTTTATTTTTTGGATCCAATGTCTATTTAAGTATTTAATTTTTCCTTTCAGTGAAAAACCAATTTATTTTTGATCCTTGATGTTTTAAAATGATATTTTTGGTCCCTTGGGTAAGTCTAGGCATGCGGGTCCGCACTCTTTTCTTCTTTTTTTTTTTTTTTCCCTTTGATTGTCCCCATCAATTTGTTTTTTTTTTTAAATTATTTAATTGGGTATGAAAATTACAAAAAACTAATTGTTATTTATTCCACACAAACTAGCAATTATGGAAATATATGATATGATATAAGATTTAAAATTTAACATATATATATATATATACACAAAAAACTAATTGTTATTTTTTCCACACAAACTAGCAATTATGGAAATATATGATATGATTTAAGATTTCAAATTATATATATATATATATATATATATTTTTTAAATTTAAATAGATATTACTCTTATTGTTTAAAATTGATCTCTTCAACTTTTCGTTTCTCATAAAAAATCTCATCAAATTAATTTTTTTGTATTTTTTAATAATATAATTTATTTCTTTATGCTTGGATTTTTGAATAAATTATTTTGTACTTGGCTTTATTTGCTTATTCTTTACATAATCAAAATTTCAAAATAAAATTTACGTGTTTTTTTTTCTTATCCTTTATATAATCAAATATTATCGTAGTTAATTTTGTAGTTTATTTTATTGCACTCTAATTAATTTCAATATATATTTTACAACTTAAATTTTTTTAAAATATTGATTAATTTTTGCTATAGACTTTGATCCATTAAATATAGTTATGATGTGTGTGTGTTGCTATATATATATATATATATATATATATATATACCATTTGTCTCCTATTGCTGTTTGTGTAGAAAATTATTTTCAATATACAAGCTGACTAAAGTTAGCAACTAAATGATCTTTTTGATGATACAGAAGTTTTACATGTTTTTAGATAAAATACTGTAACATTTTATGTTTATTTGCTTGAACTAGAACAAGTGTCTCAGTTCTTTTTTTTTTTTAATGATTGTGTTTCTCATGCTAATTGTGTGCTCTACCAAGAAGAAGTAGGAAGTATCCGAGCCTATGTCCACAGTTTGTTCTTGGACTTCCCATTTTTTGCTCAACAATTCAACTAATCATTGTGATGCGAGTTAAACTTTCCAGCAAGAGGAATCAAGATGAAATAGTAGCTTTATTGAATGAAATGCAAAGAGTTTGAATACAAGCAAATAAATTGCTCCTCCACCTCACTCATCCATACAAGTTAAAACAAGGAAAAGAGGATAGGTCAACATAAACCATATCACATATATTCTTTTTATGCAGGTGGTCTTAAATCGATCTTGATTGGTGATACTTGCATGAAATTTAAGTGATCATCTCCATTAATTGGAATTTCCTTATCCAATTAAACGAAATCTCTGGTGATTTTAAGCCAGGACAAACTAGGAAAGCATTTAATGACATTACCTCACTAAAAATATGAATTCTGTTGGGACCAGAAAACCTCATGCAGTATGTTTTCCTTATCCATCATAAGGCCATGTTACCACTCTGAGGCACCTAGCCAAGCTTTTGCACTCAAGAGCCTTTAACATAACCTTTGTTAACACTGAGTTCAACCATAGGCGATTAATCAGGTCGAGGGGAGCAGAGTCTATTAAAGGCCTGCCTGATTTCCAATTTGAGAGTATTCCAGGTGGTTTGCCTTCGTCACCATCTTGTTTTGATGCAACACAAGATGTTCCATCTTTGTGTGATTCAACGAGGAAAAATTGTTTGTCCCCATTTAAAGAGCTACTTACGAATTTGAATTCATGTCTGAAGTGCCTCCTGTTACTTCCACAATTTCAGATGGAGGCATGAGCTTTTGCATAAAAGCTGCAAAAGGGTTGAACATTCCACCGGTTTAATTTTGGACAGCCTCAGCTTGTAGCTTCATGGGGTATTTACACTTCAGTGAACTCACGAGAAGAGACGTCATTCCATTTAATTTGAAGGTATGTATTTCTTGGCTTATCTTAGTTGCTACTTTTTATTATCCAGTAGTGCATGCAGCGTGCTCCCTGGCTACTTCTCCAGTGACCAAGGACATAAATTTATCCTTTCGTTTTTTCAGAAGAAAATTTTCTACGAGATGGTGGTACACCTATTGATTGGATCCCAGGTTTATACTGTTAGCGTAAGAATACAACCGAGAGAAACGGAGGCGTAAAGTAGGGAACAAAAGAAAAATTGAGGTATCTGCTTAGTTTATTACAAAAGACTCTTGCAGTCTTTATAGGCAAAGACATAATAGAAATAACATAAAAATTGAGGTAACTGGCAACAACTCTTCCTAAGACTTAGATAACAAGCCATGTTCTCAGCAAATTAAATACAATAACTGAACTCCTAAAGACTAGCTAGGACAACTTTGACTGAAACAACCCAAGAGAAAACATGCAGAACTACAACCGTTATTACTCTTAACAAATACAAGAATAGAACAGATATAACTTATTAATGACACCAACTTCTCTCTCTCATTCTTGTGGAATCAATCAATGGGATGGATTCTACAAAAAGCATGGTAGATTTAATGCCTTAAGTTCAGTGAATAAATCCCTTAAAATGCAGCATCTCATTAATGAATTTATTGAAATTATTGTAGGATGAGCCTCCAATGCTAGCAGCAGCTTCAGCTTTCTTCTTCCATTGCAAAGCTTTGTTTTTCATTTGCTTCCCTTTCTCCCCTTCCATCATTTGCTTAACAAGGGCTTCAATTTCCTCGCGCTTTACATTATGGTTAATCTCCATACCGACGTCCCAAACGGTGCACGAGTACCGGCAATTCATTGGTTGTTCATCGAAGAAAGGCCAGCAAAGCATAGGTCTCCCATTACATATACTCTCTAAGGTAGAATTCCATCCACTGTGTGTCAAAAAAGCTCCAATTGATGGATGCGATAGTACTTCATCCTGAGGACACCAAGGTGCTAGGAACCCTCTATTCTTGATCTCCTCATGGTATTCTTTTGGTAAAAATCCAGAATTTCCCATCACCACGTCAGGCCTAACTATCCATAAAAATGGATGATTGCTGTTCGCCAGCCCCCAAGCAAATTCTTTGAACTGTTGGTCTGTCATGACTGTTATGCTACCATAATTCACATACAGCACTGAGCTGGGCTCTTGTTTATCAAGCCATTCAAAGCATTTCAAGTCTTCCTTCCACAAGTTTGACCTAAGTGACGTTGCTTGTGTTGGAGGCATTTGCCTTTCCAGCAAAGAAAGTGGGCCAATAGTATAAA